TCACCAACTATAGGGCCATAACTCATCCTTCTCCAAGGTGGAGTCAGCAAAAATCTGGGCAGAGGAAAGTTTTGCTAGATGTAAAGTTAGATTCAAGGTAGAACTTCTTTACTCTATTTGAAGGGGTAGCATGGAATACCCTTATGAGGGAGATGGAGACACTGAAAAGAAGAGAAGTAATGGAATGATCAAGAGAGATAAACAATGAGGGACTGTCCAGGTGAACCAACATTGTTTGAGAGTACAAATATTGAGGCTAAGTTTTTCTTTATGTTCTATAAAGGCTTTAGATTAATGATGTCACAATTCTGAATCCTCCGGCTGTACACTACTTTGGGAACACTTAAACCTCCAATGGAGCTAAATGTATATTTGGAGTCTAGGTTGGAAAATATTGGTGAGGGGAGCTTCAAAAAGGGATAAACTTCTCCTTTATCTGAGAGAGAACCTTGCCTGACATTGTGGATTCTGCCAATCTTTCTCTACCATCCTGAGAGATAGTGGGACTCACCACTTTGCTACCTTTTAGAGGCCATTCAGTATTTTGGAATAATTTTCAATTCATCTAGATGTACAGTCCAGCCCAAATCACTAAAATATTTATTGGTAAAATAGTACTAAGGGACACAGTAGATGAAACATAAGTGTGGTGTCAAGTAGAATGTCATCTTAAAGTGAGAGGGATGTTGTAGAGACAGTTTTGCTAGAAACTTTGCACAGTGAGTGGATGGGTGAGTGGGTTGGGTTGTGGCATTAAAAAGTGACTGTTTCTTAACCTACGTGTCCATCAACAGATGAATGGATAAATCAAATGGAATATTATTAAGCCATAAAAAGAAGGAAGTCCTGCCATTTTAAACAAAATGGCATATGCTAAAAGAAATAAGTCAGATAGGAAAGACAAATACTGTATGACATCACTTATATGTGGAACCTAACAAAGCTGGACTCATAGAAACAGTGGAATGGTGGTTGCCAGGGGCTGAGAGGTGGGGGAAATGGGGAGATGTTGGTTAAAGGGTACAAATTTCCAGCTGTAAGGCGAATAAGTTCTGAGAATCTAATGTACAGCAAGGTGACTATAGTTAACAATACAGTATCATATACTTGAAAGTTGCTTAGAAAGTAGTTCTTAAATGTTCTCACCACACATACAAAAAGTGTAATGATTTGAGGTGATGGATGTGTTAACTAACCTTATTGTGGTAATCATTTCACAATGTATATGTTTATTAAAGCATCTTGTTGAACACCTTAAACTTACATAACATTATATATCAATTATATCTTAATCAAGCTTGAAAAAAAGTAAAAAAACAAAGTGTTTCTTTCTGGCAGAAATTGGTAACATTGTACAAATTCACCCAGTATCTACCTTAATAAGAGGGGTAATTACAGTGGGTGATGTGTAAGGCTGTGTCTTCTTTAGAAAACTAATCTTAAAGATTATCATATTGCTTCTTCATAAAAAAGGCAGGTTCATAACTAATTTCACAAAATTGATTGGGGGACTCAAGTAAGTCTCAGGTGCTATAGAGACCACCTGATGAGTAATCATCTTGTAGGGACAAAATTCCATCTGATGCTAAAGTAGCCACTTGATAGCAAGGCTGATCAAAGTCTTTAGGTGTTCCTAAAAGCTGTGGGAATTTGGATGTCCCCAAATCCCAATCCTAATGTGACGAGTGTCTGGGCCGATTTATGGAGAAGAGTCGATTAAGTACATCCTATTTTTGCCATCAATATAAGCAAGATGGAATCTTGCCTACCAGTTGCAAACCACTGCAAAAATTTTTTTTCTGGTGTTGAAGAAAATGCAGGGCACTGGGGTCAGCCAGACAATAGTTTGGATAATAGCCAATATCCAGCTGCACGCCCCTCACATGGATAGATTCAAGCTATTCCAGGCCCCAGGGAAGAAATGTCAGTGTAAGCAAAACTGCAAGTATGGGTTGCAGGAATTGGGATGGGGTGGGGAAAAGACTAACAAGCTGTGCTCAGTGGTGGGTAGATCATTATAGTTTTTAAAGTTTTTTAAACAATTGATTTCTTTGGAATATTTCATGATAACTCCAGTCTGACATCAATAAAAAAATGCAAAACAACCCCATACATTTAAGCCTTTGAGCTCATTTGTCTTCCATTTTGGTGTTATATTGTGAAAGTAATTCACATGTGAATGGACCACTACAGTTTAAGTAAGCATACTAAGATATATACAGTTATGGTATTCTGAGTGTATCAGACCCTGTTCTGCCTGATAGGCAATCAGTGGTTCTGTTCTCAGTGCAGGTTTATAAGGGGGGATTGTCAAATCCCCATGACTGAAGAGTCCAGGGAGAAAAAAGAAGTAGCTCATCTGCATGGTAGGACTTCATATATTTCAAATGAGCAGCACATGCAGCTAGATAACTTCTTAAAATAGTAACTTTTATATATATTTTTTATACTTCCCTGTGTATAGTTTGTCCCTCATTTCCCAGAGTCATTCACATTGTTTTCTTAAGAATTAAATTAAGTTTATTTAAACCAGGGGGTGAAAAAAAACTGAAACAGTGTTCATATTTTTTTTAAGTTTTGTAGTAGACCCTTGGGAGTCCAGGCCATGAAAGGATCTGAACACAGAATTTATAGAATTGCTATGTATTAGAAAGGTAATAGAGGGATGCAGTTCTGTAGAAACTATAAGGTTGTCACCCAGCCTGGGAAGAAAGAGGGAAGAGAAATTGTCCATAACTCTGGTGGAAGAATGAAAGAAAGAGAAACAGAATTGAAGGGACCAAGAGAAAGTGTGTGGTACACAAAGGGGGGATTCTCAGTACCATGTGAGCAGTTACGACACTGACTGGAAGCCAGGGCAATGTGCCCAAAGTCTTCATCCCCATTTGAAGAAGCCCCACACTTCACAAGGTAAAGAAGAAATGTGACCTGATGGTCTTGTCAATGTGGCCTGTGGGCCTTTCATTAATAATGGACTGACTGTCATCTGTAGACTATCCAACAGAAGGACACACCTCTGTTCTGAAATTTAGCTGGCTGAGACTGTCTAAATAGTTGGAGCATATCTGCTTTATAAAGACCTGAGACATTCAGAATACTCCCAACACATAAGGTTGACCCTTGATGCTAAAAGGACCGGTGGGAGTATGCAAAGGGGGACACCAACACAGGTTTTTGGATGGGACCTATCATACCTCTGAGCTCATATAGAGCATCTATGTCTTCCAAAGTCTCAAGGAAAGGAAAGCTGGGAATATCAATTTCTTGAAGGGACTGGTTCATTCAAATGACATAATTTATGAGCAAGGGCTACCTAAGTTATTGGGTTATTTGTATGTGTTGGGAGTGGGGAGGTAGGGGGCAGGTTTGAAACTACATCTTGATAAATGCCAATTCTACAGTATCTCTTAAAAGAATTTGGGGTAAGTGCTGACTACCAAATGATCTCTCCTCCCCTCTCCATGTCTTGTTTCTTTATCATTAAGGAGCTAAGCCTTACTTATTTCAGTTCCATTGATGATACAAGGAATGTGTCAAATATTACCCTAAGATTCCTAGCTTTCTAACCGAGCTGACAGCTGTTTTCCAGGTGAGGTTAGACCCTCTGGCTCCAGTCTGAGTTCTTAAGGCAGTCTTCAAAATGGAAGAAGAGATCTTCTGCTCTTTTGAGCCTTTCAGGGAGCGGTGGAACCTGGCCATAGAAGGAATTCAGACGGTGATGACACTGTGTTTAACCCTCGCTGATCTCTGCAAACCTTTTGTTTTACCCAGTACTCTCTGCTTGAGGCTGCTCCTCCCATCAGAGCTTTTCAGAAACCTTCTCACGTTTCTTTGCTGGAGTCAGCTTTAAAGTCTTCCCTAACACCAGCAGCATACAAAGCAGTGGACGCTGATGCACTAAGACCCTCAGGATTGGCCAATTTGGCAAGAGACCCTCTCCACTGACCATGAAAATAGGGAAATGGAACTGCTCACCCTTGAAGACTCACTGAGACCAGCGCGGGAGGCCTCCCTCCCTGTTGCTAGCATGGACCACAGCCTCACTCAGCTCTGCAGAGTCAGCTTCTCTGCAGGTTCACTTCTTTATTTGCAGCGGAGCTACATTCTTTAGCACTTTCCAGCATTTCCCTAGCAGGAGACAGTCGCCACCACCTAAATGCCCTCTCCCCATAGTAAGACAAGACCGTCCCTCAAATTCCCAGCTACTGAGGAAGAGTGAGTCTTTCCAGATGTATAAATGGAGGAGGTGCGGAAGGGAATAGTTCCACCATTTGATGCAGCTGATCACTTCCCTACTTTTCTGGCTTTTCACTGTTGTGGTCCTCTCACTGTTGTGGCCTCTCCCGTTGCGGAGCACAGGCTCCGCACGCGCAGGCTCAGCGGCCATGGCTCACGGGCCCAGCCGCTCCGCGGCATGTGGCATCCTCCCGGACGGGGGCACGAACCCGCGTCCCCTGCATCGGCAGGCGGACTCCCAACCACTGCGCCACCAGGGAAGCCCCAATATTATTTTTATATGACTTTGCTATCTAAAATTAGCTGGATTCCTTTATGCTTGCTCACTGGAGGGAAATGGGCACACTGCCAACTGGGCTGGGCCACACTGAGTTTCAGTTTGCTTTTGCCTGAGTCTGAGAAGCCTCAAGGTTGCTGAGAAATTTTCTGCTCCCACTTTGTGCCTGCCTACCTGTCCAGAGAGAGCGACTACTCTCAGCTTCAGCCCTTGTATAGATCCTCCAAACAGGTAAATGACTTGCTGCTTTCCACTTTTCCCAGCCTCTTGCAAACAAGTCTGTTTTGTTTTTAATTTAAAAGGTAATTATTTAGAATGAAAAACTAGCTAATGACTTTTCTTGCTATCTATTCACCCTCCGTTTACTCATTTCATTTGTAATGTAAAGTAAATAAAAGGCATAAATGCAAACTTCGTGGCAGTACATATTATCTGTTTTGCAATATTTAATGGAAAATGGATTTGATTTTCCACCAGATTGAGAAGTATGGCAATGACAACTTGTTTGATGTGGATGCAAGAAAAAAAGCTGCAAAATTATTTTGGAGACAAGCAGTTTAGCCTTCTCTATAAGGCCAGTGTCCATGAATTCCCTAGTGAAAGTTTGCTTCAGAGATGCTCTAAACAAGGACCTACTATAACAGTGATTTATAGTGAAGATCATATTGTTGGGGCATATGTGCAAAAGAGCTACCTGGAAGACTATTTCATTATCCTTTTTGCCTTTCAAGAGACTGCAATTTCAGAATGCAAAATAGGGCCATGTCAACTATCTATGTTGTTTCGTGAAAGTGATAGAAATTCTGAATTCAATATAAACCTAGAGAAAAAAGAGGTGGCTATTAGCATAAATACAATGGACAAACTTGGACTACCTCACTGTTGTATTTCCTTCCAGGAATGTGAAGTTTTTCCATGTGAAGGTAGGTTTAACCAGATAACGCTATATAGAGTTCTCTTTATGTTTGGAGGGTTCTAGCTGACTCATTCCTGTAAGAAACAATAACTTTTATACTTGTCCTTATCTCCAGGTGGCCCAGACTGAAACCTGGCCACAAATTGTTTTCTACAACACAACCATGGTCAAAAGTAGAATATACAGAGTTTTCTGTGGAGTGTGGAGAACAGGTGGGGAGGAAGCGGGAGTGTGAAAGGAAGAGAGAGAGAGAGAGAGAGAGAGAGAGAGAGAGAGCACAGAAAGAAAACTTGAAGATTGTGAGACTGTCAGAAAGAAACCAGAGCTTGAACTTCTTTTGACTGGTAGTCAACCCTTTCTGCTGCAGTTTCCTGTTATATCCATTATATCAAAAGACCAAAGTTAATTTACCTATTTTTCTACTAAAGGACATTTAAATTATTTCTTATATTTGCTGTTATAAACAATGCTCCTGTAATACCTGTATGCATATAACTGTGCACAAAAATACTTCTCTGTGGTAACTCCCCGGTAGTGGAATTGCTGTTTAAGAATTATGTACATTTGCATTTCGATAGATCCCTTTCAAAAGCTTCAGTTGTCTGTGCTATCCCCAGGAGTGTTATGGAAATAACTCCCTGTATCCTTGCCAGTCTTTGCTACTATCAATATTTAGAATCTTCACCAATTTGATGGTTAAGAGATGGTTTCTCATTTTATTTTTTGCACATCCCTGATTGTTAATGAGTCTATGTGTATTGGTTATTTATATTTCTTCTATGAAATACTTGTTTATATCTATCCACTTAAAAGAAGGGCTCCTGGGAGTAGTATTCCCTGAGCATTTGCGTTTCCAAACTAATTGTGGTTTTTATACTTAAATGACTAGCAGAGTACATAATTCATGGATCATGTTTTATTCTGGGGGATACTGTAATGTTTCCACAGCTTTGGTGTTACTGTGGAAAACCTTAGGCCAGATTTATTTACTTGCAGTATTTTTTTATTGTTTCTCTTTGAGTGATTTGGTCTTTCTTCTGGCTGCCCCAAACAGCTTAAAACTTTTTGTTGTTGTTGAAGTCTGATAAATTTACATGGATGCATCATGATGTTGACCCTAACTGATCAGTTAAGTAAACTTTTTATTGAAGTATAACATATAAACAGAAATGCACAATTGATCAGTGTACCAACTGACAAACTTTTATAAAATGGACACAGTCATGTAACCAGTACTAGGATGAAGAAATAGATTATTACCATCGTTTCAGAAGACTCCTTTATGACTCCTCTCAGTTATTACTAACCAAAGGTAATGATTATTCTGGCTCATAGTAACATTAATTAATACTTATTATTTTTCAATTTTATATAACTGGAACTATACCAAAGTGTGTGTTCTTCTGTCTGGCCTCTTTCATTCAATATTATGTGTGAGAGGTTGGGCTAATACAATGGATTGGATTATAAAATCAGACCTCTGCAAATCAGATGTCTTACCTAGTATCAAGTTTTACTAATAACTTCAAGAATAAAGGCTCTCAAAAATCTCAGAGAAGTCAGGAAGAGTACTAAGATATTCTGTGTGGCTCCTAATTTTTTCCTTCCCATATTAGACATATGTTTTCTGGCTAAGAACAGAAGGCAGCATTTTTAAATGAAGTTTGTGGGCCATCTTACATATTGAAGAGTGGTTAGATTATGGAACATTTATATGCCAGTGATATGGGCTCCCAAATTACGATTAAGGCATGTTGAAGCCCTAACCTCCAGTGTGAGTATACATGGAGACAGGGTCTCTAGGAAGTAATTAAGGTTAAATGAGGTCATAAGAATGGGACCTTAATCTGATAGGGATAAAGTAAGTTTCCATATAAGAAGGGACACCAGGGAACTTTTTCCCTCTCCCCACAAATCCACAAGAAAAGGACTTGTGAGCACACAGCAAGATGGTAGCCACTTTCCTACAAGCCAAGAGGAAAGGCCTCAGAATGAAACCTGCTTTGCCCACACCTGGATCTTGGACTTAGCCTCCAGAATGCGAGAAATAAATTTCTGTTGTTTAAGCCACCCAGTCCATGGTAATATGTACAGCAGCCTGGGCAGACTGAGACAATCAGCTTATGTGACATTCTAGGAAGACATGCCTCATAAATCCATAAAATCTGGATTTATTTACTGTAAGTAATTCTTAGCCAGGAACATCCTGTCAAAGACATTCAAGAGACAAATACTCTCCTTGTAGCAAATATCATTAGTTTATTTCCCAGGAGACAAGGTTATTAGCATATTTATAAGAAAATTAGTCCCAGTCACTTTTTTTTTTTTTCCCCTGGTAAAGTAAGTGAATGTATCCCAGGCCAGCTATTTTAACCTATAACTCCCTAGTGATTCATCCATAGTATGATATGTAGTAGTAATTTTTTCCTTTTAATTTTTATATAATATTCCATTGTAATGATTCCATCACACTTAAAAAAAAAATCAAATCACTTTTGGTGACCATTTGGGTTTTCCAGTTTGGAGCTATCACAAATAATACTGCTATAAATATTCTTCTGCGTGTCTTTTGGTTCGTGTATATACATAATTTTTTGAAGAGTATAAGTATGAAATTTCTGGGTCATTGGGTATGTGTATTTTCAGTTTCAGTAGATACTGGTAAAGTTTTCCTGATAAAGTTTTCCAACACTGTCATACCATTCCACTACCACAAGCAGTGTATGAGACTTTCTGTCACTCTAAATCTTTCCCCAAACCTTCTTTCACTGGTTTTACAATATGTAGCCATTCTGGTATGTGACCCGTGGTGTGACATTTTGTGAATTTGGCTTTCTTTGATTAGACTAGTTAGTAATTTATTTATTTCATATTTTAAATTAATTAATTACTATATTAATTTATCCCTTTTTTCAATTTATGAATTTGTCTTTGTATCTTTGTTATTAATATATTATTATATTTCTAAGGTTTGTTCCCCTCTATTCTTTTCTATTTCTTTCCTGTTATTCATGAAAGGTACTTTTATCCCAAGATTGATATGAAGCATTTATATTGTTGTTATTTCCTATATATTTACTACTGTGATTTTTAATTTCCTTTTGGATGTTAAAGTATCTAAAAAGTGATTTGTAAAATCCTAAGACGTTGCCCTTCTCTTTGTTTACACTTGTTCTTTTCCAGTTTTATTATATTGCAGTCATTGAATGCAGTTCTTCACTATTTCTACTTTTGGTAATTTAAAGAGGCTTTCTTTGTAACCATACATACAGCTATATTTATAAATGTTCCACACAGTATTATTTTTCTGTTGTTTAGAGAATTACCAGCATCACTACACCTAATCTTTTCAGTTTTAAATCCACCATAAAAGAGTATCTCTTTCCAGGGCTTCTCTGGTGGTGCAATTGTTAAGAATCTGCCTGCCAGTGGAAGGGACACGTGTTTGAGCCCTGGCCCGGGAAGATCCCACATGCTGTGGAGCAGCTAAGCTCGTGCACCACAACTACTGAGCCTGCGCTCAAGAGCCCGCAAGCCACAACTATTGAGTCCACCTGCCACAGCTACTGAAGCCTGTGTGCCTAGAGCCCATGCTCTGCAACAAGAGAAGCCACCACAATGAGAAGCCTGTGCACCGCAACGAAGAGTAGCCCCCACTCACCGCAACTAGAGAAAGCCTGCACACAGCAAGGGTGATCAAACGCAGCCAAAAATTAAAAACAAACAAACAAATAAATAAATAAATAAATTTATTTTAAAAAAAAGATTATATCTTTCCAAGAAACAAAAGAATTCTGGGCCTGAGTCTCATTGGTTCAAACGAAGACCTAAGCCCACCCCTGAACCACTCGCTGTGCTCTGATTGGCTATGCACAAGTACTACATTCTCTTCTGAACCAAGAAGAAAATCAATTGGATTGGAAGTTCCAGGAAGCCCAATTGTTGATAGTAGGTTTTGGAGAAAATCTGGTGCCTGTGGTTTTTTGATTTGTGTGTCCTTGCTCATTATCCCTTTCAGACCGATTGGATTTATGGAGGAGAAAATATTTTAGAGAGTTTCCAGTCTTTCCCTAGCCTAGACCTTGCTTCTCTGATTCAGAGAGGACTCCAGCCCTCATCTCTCATATTGGAGTGGGCCACCCGCTACTGCTGAGTAATTTGGCGAGAAAAGATCTGCTGACACTATAGTCTTGCAGCGCCTACATTGAGTCTAGCTCTGGACTCTTCAAATGAAATATGTTAAGATTCCCCATAATTTTCTCCACTTGCTTTTCATCATACTGCACTGTTCCTACAGAAAGGCTATTTTTATATTTTTTCCTAGTGAATTCATGCATTCATTCAGTGCCAGTCATTCAACAACTTGTAATCTTCATTATTCTTTGATTATTTCTCTAGATTTATTGGACAAAAGGAGGATGGATGGGGTCACTAAGTCAATGTTCTTAATGTTCTATGATTCTATTCATTATCTTAGACTTATTCTACTATAGGTTTTGTCAATAAAATTCATAGTGCAAATTATAGCAGATAACTTGTGGATCACCAAGAACAAGTTATATTTATAATCATAAAATATTTCATAATAGTAATGTTAAAACGAAAATAGCACTGGGTGGATGAAAGACATTTCTAATGTTTTTATATACTTGAAAGGAAATAATTATTTGGCTGAATGTCTACACTTTTGCTTAGAAGTCTTACAGCTATGGTTGGTTTCAACTACTTCAGGGCAGGGGTGGTTGGCAGGTGGGGAATACCTATCATGGACTTCAAGAACATGTTAGACATCTTCTACTTCTATAAACCTCAAAAGTCACATATTATGTTGTGGTTTTTGAAGTTTATTATTGATAATTTATTTTCATGTTTAACATAATTGCTGTTTATTCCAAGGTTTATATATGCTTAAATCTGAAAGGTTTTATGTCTGATTGTCTTTAGTTAAAACTGTTACTCTTACTTCTTTTACAACAATAGGATTTGAGATAAGATATTTTCATGTCTTTTTATACAAGATACTAATCAAAAATAAATAATAACATATGAGAAAAAAGAATGAATTCTAGGAAAATTTATGGTAGAGTCTTGTGACCTAACCTTAGTCAACTGTTAAAATTGTCTTGTCTAAACAGGCTCAAGGAGACTTATTGTCTGCTATAAGAACTTCCGAACCATATGGAGGCCTGGTTCACCAAATACGAATTCTGCTTTTGGGGCCAGTTGGAGCCGGGAAGTCTAGCTTTTTCAACTCAGTGAAGTCTGTTTTCAGAGGCCGTGTAACAAACCAGGCCTTGGTGGGGTCTAAGACAACTGGGGTATCTGAAAAGGTGAGTCTGTTCTATTCTAGGTCACTCAGCCTTTGCTTCTTTGTTCAAGTTAATTATATTTGAAAAGTCTTTTGCTGATCAATTTCATTACATGTAGACTTCATTTCAATTTACAGTTTTTTAGAAAATGAACTTTTGAAGTTACTTTTTTTTCCTCTGCAGTACAGAACATATTTCATTAAGGATGGGAAGGGTGGCAACACCCGGCCATTTATCCTGTGTGACTCAATGGGGCTGAGTGAGAAAGAAGAAGGGCTGTGCATGGATGACATACCCTATATCTTAGAAGGCTGAATTCCTGACAGATACCAGGTAAGATTTGGCTAATTATTGAGAAAGTATAATTGATACTTGAAATGTTTATTTTTACCCACTATCGACAATATTAGACTTTAGTGCACTAGCATTTATTTTATTAAACTATACTTGTTCAAGATATTTTTTTGCTTTTTGATATTTTATTTTATAAAGAATTAAAACATCCATAGGGTTCTTCTCTCATAGTTGTTATAACAACTCTGAATGTTGTTATACATTCAATTGCTTTTGGCTATGTGAAACAGAAGTCTAACTACATCAATTTACTCACAAGGGTGATTATTCTTATGTAACAGAAAGTTTGAAGGTAGGCCGCTTTGGGCAAGTGTGGAAGGTTATTAATTTCATGTGTCCTTCTGACTTTCTGTTCTGAGATCCTCAGCATAAGGCTATGGATGTAATGTTTGCCCCCCACCCTCCATTCACATGTTGAAGCCTTAATCCATAGTGTGATGATGTTTGGAGACAGAGCAAGTTTGGGAGGTGATTAGCTCATGACGGTGAAGCCCTCATGAATGCAATTAGTGCCCTTGTGAGAAAGAACACAAGAGAGATGACCTCTCTTGCAGCCATATGAGGACACAGCAAGAAGGTGGCTGTCTACACACCAGGGTCTAACCACACACAAAATTTACCAGCACCTTGATCTTGGATTTCCTAGCTTCCAGAACTATGAGAAATAAAAGTTTGTTGTTTAAGTAACCCAATACGGTAACTTGTTATAGCAGCCCAAGCTGACTAAGACATGTGGTTTTCATCTTTACGTTCTCAAGATGTTCATGCTAAGCACTGTTGGTATTCCAGGCAAGAGGAAGGAAGAGATGAAAGAGAAAAGCTACTTTAGTCTGCCTTTTAAAAAAACTTTCCAGTTCCTTTTTATAAACATTTAGATCTTAAGTTAACTATTAATTCACCTTGTTCTAAATGAATAGGCGAATGTGCTAACATATTTTATTGAAAGTTGTATCTTTCCCTTCTAAATATGGGTATTTAGTTTTGCAATCTATAGTTTGTCCTTTTAATGTATTTTTCAATTCCTTTATAATATTGCTTTTCTTACCACATTGTCTAATTGTTTTAATTGCCATAGCAATCAATTATGTCTTGATAACCAACTGGATGTCATATTCATTATTCATTTCTCACATGTTTTGGACTATCTTATACATATACTTTTCCTTTTCTAAATGAACTTGTTAGTGTTTTATTTGATTGTTTGTATTTGTGTTTGATTTGTTGGTGCTTTAATTGAAATTACGTTAAAATTATATATTGAGTGTTGATATACATCTTTACATATCCAGTGTTTTTATCCAGAAACAGAGCATGCTTTATTTTTATATTCATGCAAACTTCTTTCATTCTTTAAAGTTATCTTGTAGAGGTAGTTAAGTTTATTTTAAAATATTCTTTAAAAGAAATATTTATTTAGAGAATGTTAAACCTATGCAAAAGTGGACAAAACAATTTAATGAATTTGCATTTACATAGCTTTAACAATTTTTTATTTATAGCCAATCTTGTTTCATCTGTGCCTACCCACTTTCTCCTCTCCTGTATTATTTGGAAGAAGATCTGAGAAGTCATAATATTTCATCCATAAATGAATATGCATTTAAATATATATACATTTAAATTAAATATATATACACATAAGGTCATATGTGTCTTTTATTAAACATAGGCATGATATGCTTATCACATTTAAAAGTAATAGCTGCTCTTAATGTATCAAATGTTACCCATTTCTATTTCTCTTTTAAGTATCATGTACCTTTTATAACAGTTTGTTCAAAAAATTATTCAAATAAATCTATCCAGCCTCTTTTACTTTTTTATTTCTTTTATTTTTTTGAAGGAACATGCTAGGTTTATTAAAAGGGTGACAAGAACAGAATACATAATTACATTTTTTAAACGTTTTAATTGGAGTATAATTGCTTTACAATGGTGTGTTAGTTTCTGCTTTATAACAAAGTGAATCAGTTATACATATATACATATCCCCATATCTCTTCCCTCTTGCATCTCCCTTCCTCCCACACACCCTATCCCACTCCTCTACGTGCTCACAAACCACCTAGCTGATCTCCCTGTGCTATGTGGCTGCTTCCCACAAGCTATCTATTTTACATTT